ACTTGTAGAAAAATATAGAAAGCTACAGGATAATATAACAACTTACACCGTGTACCGAAGTGTTGAAATACAAAAGGCATTTAAAACTAGTCAAAGGAGTATTATGGATCTAAGAGTGTTTTTTAGAAGTGGGTGAGTTTTTAAAAAAATAAATGAAGGCAAAACTTTTAGGTTCATAAGCGAAAATCATTTCTAGACTATTGTGAGTTTAAAAATAAGTGGGGATACAACTTTCGATTTATAGGTAAAAAAGTAGTCAAAAATTGATGGCACAATGTTAGTGTGAAAAAAATGAAAACTTTAATATTTGGTTTAAAAAATATAATGTATGCCTAACTACTTAGTTAGCAAGTCATAACAAAATATCACAAGGGGTAGGCGAAAAAAATCATTTAAACATTTGATGTCACAACATTAGTGTGAAAAAATAGGAAATAATTTGATATTTGGTTTGAAAAATACAATGTATAGCTAAATATTTAGTTAGCAAGTCATAACAAAATATCAAAACTCACAGTATCCACTAAATTGCTAAAATATGAACTGAATTAAAAAAAAGTTAGTGAGTGTTTTGGGCGTAGGAATGATTTTGGGAATGAGTAGGTTCAAAATAAATAAGGGTAGAAGTCTGTATTTACAGGGGGAAAAGTCCTTTTTTTTTTGAGCTGAAGAAGCAGGAATAGACTTCCTGCTCATAAAATTTTATTTATATCAGAAAACATACATATAAGCAACTATACTTAGCACACCCAAAAGGAGGCCAGTATACAGTAGAACAAGAAAAGGCCAGAAAACAGAAGATAACACCATCAAAAACAAAAGAACAACAAAAGATTCACTACACCAGTAAGACTTGAAAAACTTTATATTGTTTTGATCCTAATCACTGCTCCTCTAGAAGAGAGCTACTTAGAAAGGATCTAACCACTTCAAAAGACTTGCCTGAGCTTCTAATCTGCAGAGAAATTATCTCCCACCTCTGCTGCAGCTTTTGTCTTTGCAATTTCGTCGAATTTCAGCTTAATTGCTGCCCTTCTGATCCTTTTTGCCAGCTTATCTTCATGTGCACCTGTCCAATGAAGGGTATACCTAGCCACGTTAGCAGCTACAAGTTCTGGATTTTGCTGAGAATCTTTAAAGATGAAGTAATTTCGACTGTTCCAGATCCACCAACATAAACATGGGAGAACCACCTTCCAAATACAATTTATATGAATACTGTCTGCTGTTGGTGCTTTAAAGAGAATCAAATCATGCATGTTATGCGGCAAAGTGGCTAAATCAATACTAGGGAAGAGTAAAATCCATATTGAAGAAGCAAAAGGGCAAGTAATGAATAAATGATCCTGGCTCTCCACTTCAAGGTAGCAGAAAGGGCACCTTGGATCACCTTTCCATCCCTTAGAGACTAGGTTTGCCCTTGAATTAAGCTTGTTGTTACTCACGAGCCAAAAGAAAACTTTCACCTTCAGAGGGATAGGGGATTTCCAAACAAACTTATAGAATCTAGATAAACACCCACCTGATATAATGGAAGAGTAAAGAGATTTTACAGAAAATTTTCCTGTTGCATTGAGCGGCCACCATAAGGAGTCCGGGGTTGTAGAGGAACTACAATCAAAGGAGCCAAAACTGGAATGCAGGTCAATGACCTCTCTCTGATCCTCCGTGGTAATACCTCTTCTGAGGATGGGATGCCACTGCCAAACTTGGTTTTGAAGATAACCCTGAGATGAGATGTTGCAACCTTTTGAAAAAGCAAGGGAAAACGCCTTAGGGAAGAGACTGCTTAAGGAGTTTGGACTAATCCATTTGTCATACCAGAAACTACATGTCTTTCCATTACCAACGGTCCATCTCACAAAGAATTGGAAGACTGGGTACACAGAACTTATGTCCTTAATCAAGTTAGATGATTTAAATCTTGATATGGACACTACAGGATTGGATCCATCCTTAGAATATAAGGAGAAGATCACTTTACTAATGAACGAGTCCCTGTCAAAGATTTTCCAAATCCACTTAGATAAGAGGGAGATGTTGAAGACTTGGAGATTGATTATACCCAATCCCCCTTCCTGTTTCGGTCTGCATACTAGTTTCCATGAAGCCAGACACTTGATATTAGAGTGGTTGTTACTCCCATTCCAAAGAAAACTTCGTCTGATTTTGTCTATTTCTTGAATCAGCCACTGAGGGAATTTGAAAAAAGAGATATAATAAAGAGGGATAGAGGAGAGGACTGAGTTTACCAAAGTGAGGCGTCCCCCTATAGATAAGTGTTTATTTTTCCAGAGGGACAGTTTCTTGGAGAGAGAATCAAGGAGAGGCTGCCAGTCTTTTTTAGATAAAACTCCTTTTTTAAGGGGAAGACCCAAATAGGAGGATGGTAAAGATCCCAGAGAACAGTTGAAAAGACTAGCTAATCGGGGAGCCTTTCTGTGGGATCTACCAAGGTAGAAAAGATGTGTTTTGTTGTAATTAACCAGCAAGCCTGAGATATGTGCAAAGATGAGAAGAATTGCTTTAAGGGTGGACATATCTGAAGGGGATGCTCTAGAAAAGATAATTGTGTCATCAGCAAACTGAAGCGTCCTAATGTTGTTAAGTTCTCCTTTCAACTGGAGATCAGAAAGATCCCCCGAAGCAACACTAGACCTTATCATTTTATTTAGAACATCAACAACCAAGAGAAAAAGCATGGGGGAAAGGGGATCCCCTTGTTTCAAACCCCTATGACAGGAGAAGAACTTGGTAGGAGAACCATTAACCAGAACAGCTGATTTGGAGGATGAAAGGATGTGTTTGATCCAGAGACACCAATTCTGACTGAAACCTCTAGCTTGCAAACAAGGGGTTTATTGCAGGATCAATTATATTATTCTATTAAAGTTCATCTTATTGTTATACTACAAGTCACTTTATAATTGAGTTATAAATTGGTTTATATGCAAAATGCTATTTACTGATGTGTACCCAGCTCTGAAAAAACGATATGTTATGCTTAATAATTTCTTGGCCACATACATGTCTTTTAGCATTTTGTAGTTGAATTCTAATAATTTTTTAAATGTCACTAAACCCGT